GGGGGGGGGGGGGGGGAATCATACACTCCCCCCCCTCCCATGGGTTCATTTTTGTCTGCCTATCAGTAATTAGCATTCCCTTATTTTTCACAGGCAAGTTTAGGTGATGATCTGCATTGATCTCTAATGGGAGAAGCACAGTTGATGTGTTTTTCGCTGATAGGCCATTCAAAGCCAGACTTTTAAAAGTGCAAAGGGGGGGGGTTCCTTTTAAAAGTGCAAGCAGAGGTGGGGGTTTCCTTTTTTTAGTGATATTAAGTCATCCTAGTAGATTTTTTATCCTTATCTCTGCAAGTCTCATTTTGGAAAGACACAATGTGCTTCCCTTGGTAATAAATACAATCCACGTTCTGGGTTGGCAACACATTAAACCATACTGGCTGATCTGGCACAAACACAACGCCACCCCCCCAATGAACACCCCTCCCCAACATTTAACCCAGCAAAAAGTTAACTAAGCTGAGCACAATGGGCAAAGGCGGCTGTTATTTAACTGCTGGTTAGAAGACAGTTGTGTGGAAAATGGATTCTAAAAATGTGGTATTTCTCATGATTACGCTCACAAATATGCACTACTGAGTGTGTGAGGAGTGGGACTCTGTTCTTTATTAGAGTGTGTGTGTTTCCAATATTTTGCTGATACACTATTTAAATAAAAAAAGGGGGGGGGACCAGTTCTTTTCTACCCCACTAGAAATATGTTCCCTTGTAACTAGATTTTGGAGTTGCTATGAAGATCATCACAGTGCACTGTTTCTGGGATATTAGTTGCAGATCTTGTAATTTTTTTTAAGTTATAGGACAACAGGCTGGAAGATGCTGTTGAGCTGAATCTCTCCTTGCTCAACAAATCAAACCGTCAATAAATCTTTCTAGGTTTGCAATTTAACAGCTTGTCTCTTAGGAACAATCTCGTCCCTGCGTTTGAACGATATGTCAAAACGGAAATGATATTGGCCCCAGTTTCTCTCTCTTCCTTGTCTGGCTCAGTTTATTGATTGAATAGGGTCTGGCTTTCCTTCCTGGACCATTTCCTCGCAGGGCTGTTGTGAGGCAGGGAGGGAAGAAAGCGGGAGGCTCCCCAAGATACCTTAAGAGGAAAGGAGAGGGATGAACAGCAAAGAATAAATAAAAAAGATGTTGATCTTGAGGACTAGGAACATGGTTGGACCTGGTCAGGGGTTGGGGGTCCTTTTTCTACATGGAGGGTTAAGAATAATTTCTCAGAAGTTGGAGGGAGGTGGAGTCAAAGTAAGAAGGGGGTGGGGCCAGAATCCAAAGTGGGCAGGGCCAGGACAAAAATGGGGTGGACATGCAATGGGTGGGGCAGTCTCCTTTTCTATCCCTCTCTTCCTGTTATCTTTCTCCCATTTTTGGTCCAGATGTCAACTAAAGGAAAGCCGAGAGTGGTCTGAACTGATTCCTTGCTGTGAGTTTTTTGAACTACGCCATGAAATTAGAAATTAGAATGAGGGGTTTACAGATCCAAACCTGCCCCCTTCCCCCAAATTTGAGGATTTGCATTGCCCTTTGTAACAGAGATCAAAAGTTAAAAAGATCACTTTCCTTTCTTCAATCCTGCTAATAAATACAGGGATTAAAAAGTGTTGAGAAAAATGCATTCCCCTCCTTCCCTACACTGAGATTTTGGTTTTGGTTGTTTTAAAAAATATTGTGGTTTTTCAAGATCTACCATGAAAATCACCTTCTGAGTGGCCTGAAAATATGGCATAATAATAGTAAGAGCAATAATAATAGTAACAATAATTATAGTAACAACAATAACACCATCAATGAAACAACAACAGGAACAACAACCATTGCCACATTGAAATTTTTCATTTATCCATTCTTGTAGCTGTGTTGTTGATTATAAAAAGCAATTTACTTCTTGGAGAGAGAAGAGGAAATTAATTCAGAAGGCCTCCCTACTCCAGAAATCAAATATTTACATGACTGAAATAATCATGGTCCTAGTCCATATGAGGGCATCGTTTGCATAATAGGAACAATTTGAGCAGTTTCTCTTTACAGACCCATTGCAAAGCTTTATTTTTAAAAAGAAACAGGGGACAGCCCTGTCTGAGTCGAACTATGCCTGCAAATGTTTCGCTTGTTTTAGCAAAAGCCATTCAACTGCCTGTTATTCTTAGAACATCTCCTAACCGGCAAGGCCATGCAAGCATTAAAACCCATGCGCTTCTGTTTCAAATGCAACACAGACAGCTGGCAACTCTTACGTTGAAACGGTCTTCTTGGAGTGGGGATTGAAATGGGGCAGGCTTAGTCACCCAGGGAAAAATAGGGAAATAAAAGCAGAGTTTAAAACGGTAAAGCTGCTGATCTGTTTGAAGAGGGCGATACATTCCATGCATGGCGTTCATTGGGGTAAGGAATGAACAAACACTAATAGTTTAAGAGGAAGCATCCAAAAGCAAGTAATTGTTTCGTGCTGAAAGAGACATCAAGTGCTTTAAAATTGCTGCTCACCCCGCTGAGCAAAAATACCACCTCTAATTAGGATGACAAGGGTGTTCCATCAGTGATACACGCAAACATACACACAACAAATCTTGCACCTCTCCTTCCAGCACACCAGGACCTTGGAAGGCCTTCCCTTGTTGGCTTCTCTTGTATTGTTTGAGGCCGGGTGGATTTGCACAGATTGATCACGAATCACTCTGCTGGATCCGGCCAAAGCGTTAGACCCACGGCCTGTTTCCACCGATCTGGACAGCCAGTAGTGGGTGTTAACCCCACCCCACCATTGCCCCATTAAGAGGACGTTGCTTTCAAAAACAGAGATGGAGGAGAGGAGGACTGGTGGAAATCGGGTTCAATCCGATTTGTTGAATCCATTCTCCTGGAAAATTGGAACATTCAGGGAGTGGATTCAAATGTCTCAATGGATTTGAATGGAATCATTGCTTTGAACATCTGAATGAGAGGGCTGGATTTGAAAGTCCAATTTGATTCAGACAAAAAAAGTCTTCAAGACCTTTTTCAAAATCACCTGAATGAAATCATTCAGTTCAACCAACTGAATTAATCTGTTGGCTTCCATGCACTGATCTGTCCCATTGCATTGACGCAACATGGATTTGCATAACCCCAGGAGACAGCTCTTACAGCTAACAGCTTGATCCTCCATGGGTCCCTCCAAACCACGCAGGTTGGTGGCCCTCCCTAAGACATGTGGCAGTGAATTCCATAATCTATCAAGCGGTCATTCCTTTTATTGGCCTCAAATCACACGCTCAGACATTCCAAATAAATAAATGACATGATAAAGTCAATCTATATCTATCAGCAATAGAAATTCAGGCTGTAGACCCCAGTTACAGAAGTTGGCAGAGGGCCATGCATGAACACTGGGCGAGTGCCACGGGCCATGCCTTGAAAAAGTGGGTGGCCCAAACCCAGAACAGCAAAATATGTTCTGGTGGGAGAAGAACCCAGAATGCTACATTCTGCAAAATGGCAAAACTAGGAATAAACACAAGAATTGTAAGGATTTTTTCTCCACATGTATACTCATCATACCAAACACTTAAAAAACTAAAAAGTAGTTGTAAACTCGCAAAGCTAAGGCAACAGATTTCTCCACCCCAGATTTGATGTGAAACCATCAGGGACTTTAAAATGTGAAAGGTTTGTTTCATGCAAATATCCACCCCGTTTCTAGCCCTCACTGAGGTGTTTGTGAAAACTTTTAAAACACTGGCAGTACCTATGTGATTTCCCCCCCCCCTTTTACTATAGACTTTTATGATAAAGTGGTCAGGTAGATGAACAACCATCCAGAGGTTTTCTTTTTAAATGTGTTGTGACGAATGTCACAATTTGGTGTCATATCAGCTGGCAAGTTTATTACTCCCCAGGGCTGATTTTCACACAACTCTCCCTGATAATGGGTAAACGTAAACTTATCCTTCTGGGATCCCATTGTGAGATCAAGACATTTGCCACAAGTCTGAGCTCCAAGTGAGTCTGCAAAACACCACCATTTCCAATGGTTCCAAAGGATCCAGGCGAAAGAAAATGGTGGTCGTTTGCTTGCAGTTGTGTTAGTTGGGGGCTGAGATCTGAGCAGACTTCCCACATCATCAGCAGTGAACGATAGGGGTGTATGGTGGAGGATGTTCCTTTCAAGAACCCTGCTGGTTCAACTTTCCCCATCACCGGACACTAGTGCTGGGTGGAACTTGCCTTTTTGATGCTCCCCAAAAGTCCTTTCTCATCTCTACGGCAAGGAAGACACAGAAGGGTGAGACACCCTTGGACACTGAGACCGTGTGGGTGAAAACTGAGGAAGATCCTGGTGAGGGGCCTCTTTCACCGACTCCCTTTAAACACCCATGTCTACTACCATCCCCCCCTCCCATGGTTGGGAAGCTTCAATGACACTTGGGTGGCATCCAACCACACTGTCAGAATTTTTTTCCATGGGTTTGGGTAGGGACTGGAACTGGGTAGCTGGCGCCCCATGGTTACACAGACCACAGAACAACATTCTCCTCTCGAACAAAGAGACTCAACTGGAGAAACAAAACTAGACTGAAGGATAAAATCAGTACACAATGACTTCCCACCTGCCCCAGACCCTTCCCAATAGTCCCCCAAGACCTGGTACCAACATTATCCAATGTAAGAGGATCCAAGGAAGAGGCCCCAATTCTTTCAAATCACGAGAACCCAAGTAAGTGATAACAATTCTTCAAAATCAAGAGGACTTGAGTAATTGGTACCAGTTTGTCGAAATCAAGAAGGGTCCAAGTTACTAGGACCAATTATTCTGAATCAGGGGAACTTGAGTAACTAGTACTAATTTGTCTGGATGAAAAGGACCCAAGCAACTGCTACCAATTTGTCCAAATCAGGGGATCTGAGTAATTGGTGCCAATTCTTCTGAATTAAGAGGACCTGAATAACTAGTACCAATTTGTCCAAATCCAGAGGATCTGAGCAACTAGTACCAATTCTTCTGAATCAAGAGGATTCGAATAACTAGTACCAATTTGTTTGAAGAGGACCTGAGTAACGGGTACCAGATCAAGCAGATTTAAACAACAGATACCAATTCTTCTCATTTAGGAGGACCCAAGAAACAAAGATTCTTCAAATACTAGGGGCGTTATTTGTAACCCACAGAACCTTCTCAAATCTATCTTGCTTGGTTCCTCAGTCATCTCAAGATTTTCCCATCTGTTGGTCCTTCATCCCATCCAAGATCCAATTTGCAGGAGAAATTTAAAGATTTCTCATTGGGAGGAAGGACCCACATCTCATCAATGGGGGTCTACTCCCAAGTTATGCATCCCACCCGCCCAATTTTTTTTGCACAAGCTGATTTTATCCTGGAGGCCGCAGCCAAAAACTAGGACAACCCTAAAGAAAGCAGAGGCACACCCACCACATCCCTTGAATACCCCACCCCACCATCAAGACATTCCCAACAGAAGGGGACAAGAACAGAGATCTTCCAAAAGAAAAGAAAGAGTCCAAAACAGAGCACATCATTAAAAAAGAAAAAAAGAGGGGGAGGGAAGAGACCCCCAAACCAACAGCCCTGAAAACAAGCTGGAAGGAAGGAAGGAAGGAAGGAAGGAAGGAAGGAAGGAAGGAAGGAAGGAACGTAGCATCATCACTCACTCTTCAGCTCTGTGTTTTTAGTGTGAGCTCGGCAGCCGCAGGTATGTAGATACAAGCAAGCAGGAAAAGCAGGGGGTGCTTTTTTGTTTTGAAGGATTCTCAGTGTTCAGAAGGATGGGGTTTCCCCCCTCCCATTTGGTAGCAATGTTTTATACAAGTTCAAGAAGCATCATGAGCCAGTTGATCTCTTTTTCCCCCCTCTCTTTCTCTCTCTCCTTCTCCGTCTGTCGTTAATCTCGGCCCTCCCTTGCTACTGTCCCTCTGTCTTTCCATCTCATTCCTTCCTGGGCACGAGAGAAATGCCATAGACATATTGGTTGGGTGGGTTCCGTTGTCATCCTGTTGAGGTCGGGTTCCAATTTGCCACTACTTCTTCCTCTTCTTCCTCCTCTTTCTCCCCCCTGCTGCCCTGCCACCGTGCCCCACCCTTCCCCTCTTAGATGAAATATTCCTTCTTGTCGTCCCCGCCTGATTGACCTCCCTCTGCGTTGATAATGGCTGTGTCTGCATCTGGGGCATCGTCTGAGCCTTTGGCCTCATGGGTCAAGTAGGTGCCTGTATGGGAGGGAAGGAAGGAAGGAAGGAGGAGAGAGAGAGAGAAAGAGAAAGGAAGGAAGGTGGAAAGGGAGGGAGGGAGGGACGGACGGAGGGAGGGAGGAAGGAAAGAAGAAGCCAAAGGAGAATTATTTCACTTCATTGCTAAGGAAAAAAGGACACAAATTTTTGCAAATCTTCCTTCTTCAGGTTCATAAAGAGAAGGAGGATTGGAAGCTCCAAGTTATTCCTAAGTCTTAAATCAGGATAGAAGATCCACAGGACAACCAGGCCAGGGCTGGAAAAATGAGGTGGGTCACAGGGGGTCCTAGGCTGCTTGTTGCCCTTCCCTTATAGACATTACCTTAGTTCTCTGGTGGTGGTGAAGAGGAGAGACAGAAGTTCAGGTCTCCTTCCACCTTCATTTGAGCCCCTGAAATTTCTACTTGTGATTTATTCTCCCACCTTATAAGATCCTTTAAAAATCAGCGGGAGCTTTCAGATCTCCCAGTGGGACAGAAATAAAACAAGATAACAGTCCCACGTTTGAAAAACGTTCCTTTGTGTAAAATATGCCTCCAATCTGGGCAATAGACAGACAGGGCCTCTGAATAAGGGGCAAGAGGAAACAGGTAGAGCTGGGATGTGGATCCCCAAGACACCTGAAGACAGAACGCAAGGGACTGAGAGGGGAGAAGGCAACTGTCTGGAACTTACCTTTGTGCCGAATCAAGTAGTGTCCCAGAATGATGAGGAGGATGAGGAGGAGGAAGACGACAACTGCTACTACGCCTCCAACGATGGCGTGATAGCTGCTTCCTGTGTGTGGCATGGGACTGGAGTCTATCCAGATAGAAACAGAATGCAAGACTTAGTGGCCAACCGTCCAAAGTTCACCATCTCTTCTTGAAACCATCTTATTACTAGCTATTTCTGAGTTTAATATTCCCAAGATACTGGATGGGCCTTAGACTGGGGAAGTCTGTATGCTTAACTTTCTTCCTTTTTGTTATGTGTATGTGTTTAGTAAGTTTTCTAGTCTCTATATAGAAAAGTAAATATATGGAGGTAGGATTATGCTCAACTGTTCACTAAAATGTACAGTAAAACCTTGCTTTAACAGCTCCTAAATTAGCAGACTTTGGATGCAACAGACCAACTTTTTTACTGGACATTGCCAAGAAAAAAAATGATTTTACAGACCCTCATTCAGCAGATTGTATGGATGCAAGAGGCCAAATTTCTGACTTGGTATCACCTAGAGAAAAATTAATTTAACAGACCCTAATTTAGCAGATTTTGGAGTTAACAGACGGGATCTCTGATATCACTTGGACGTCACTTGGATGTAATGGACTGGTCTGCTCATCTGAAGCAGTCTGGATGAGGCTTCATTTTTCAACATCCACAGTGATGTACATAAATGGCATAATTATGTCATTCAACAAAGGACATGAACTGATGCAAACGACACACTTTTGTATTTAACAATCAGGAATAATAGACACACCTTCTCCCCCAATTAGTCCATTAAGCTTGACACTTCATTGTTGTACTATTAGAGTACAATCTTATATATATCTGTGTGTGTGTGTGTGTGTGTGTGTATCTATCTATCTGGGAGTAAGTTCCACTGAACAATGGGATCCTGCTAAGATGTAAATGACATCCATATTTGGCTAGTGGCATTTATATGTATTAGTTTAGCTCCTTGGGCTGTTAGTCTAGCTAATTTCCTTTCCTTTTACTCAACTGTTTCTCTAAAGCAAGGTTTTTCAAACTCTGTTCCATGGAAACCTAAAATTCCAGAAGAACTTGGTGAGGTTTGATGAAAAAAAAGTTCACTTGAATTCTCTGTCACTAGATCTTAGCCTGTAGCTTAAAGGCTTTTTAACCTGCAGGGTTTGTGGCCTGAAAAAATGTAAAACCTCTGCTCTAAAGCAAATCCATCACAGTCCATTCTGGCCAAAGGAAGTGTGATATTGGAAGCATCATGAAAAGCCACCGGTGGGCCGAGGACCGGAGCAAATCTGATTTAGTTTAGTGGAAAGTTACATGGGATGAACGTGAAATGAAGATAATCAAAGGCAGTTAACACACTTTCTCTTCTCCCTCCCCACCCTTCATGTTAAAATGCCCTCTTTCTGCTTCTTTAGAAATTGCTATTCCATGGCGACCTGGAAAAGGGTACTGGGGGGGGGTGTACACACAGGTCTGGACTTTAAGTTGGGCTCCTCTGCTCTAAAGTAATGCTTATATTGCCTTTAGCAGACCTTCAAGGGAGGCGAGGTTGAAGAACCGTGATGGTGGGAATGCTACTTTATTTTTTATAGAGCCTATTAACAGAATCTTGAAAGTCTCTCCAAAATGTTCACGGTATCCTTTTTAAGCACAACAAAGCCAAGGTAGGGTTTCCTCCCTCCCTCCCTTTCGCTCTTCTCAAGGCCAGAACTAAATTCCTCTCCATTCAGAGTTTCTTTCAGAAAGAAAAAAGGGGCTGAGCATCCCTGGGCAAAATATTAGGATTGGATTATATCGGTGGATATAGTTATGCCCTGGGAGAGGACAGTGGAAGAAAGGAGCATCGAAAGTAGCAAGACTTTTTCGAAACATTCACCAAATCCTTCACCAAGATGTCACAGGAATTTGCCTCCTTCCATAGCCTGCTTCTTTCTTGATTCCTGCCAACCCTCATAGGCAACTCCCAGAAGATAAGGGGTCTCCCATTTTCCAGAAATTAGGGGAACATTGGCCTGGAAATATTGTTCTTCTGTGGCAATGGTGTTTTGCCTCCCTGCCTTCTGAAATCTGAAGCCTTATTAGGCTTCAGGAAATTATTAATAAAGGGCCTTAGGGTTATAGATGTCACTGTCTATTTTTATTGCTTTTCGATTGGTTGTTTGATGATTTTATCAGTGGTTTAATTATGGTCTATTGTTATGCAAAATTACTTGTACCGTGGACATTTTATTGATGGGAGTGTAACCCACTGAGAGCAGCTCTACTGTGGTAGGCAAGGAAGTAGAACAAACGAAGAAATAAATGGTTCATCTGGAACCTACAGGAAGGTAAAATTGGGGGTGGCATGAGTTTGGCCAGCTGCAGAAGAGGACAAGGAATTTTAGGAACTAAGGTGAGACTGGCCGGCATCCATTCTGTCAAACTGTAGCATCTTCTTACAAATTGCTAAGTGGTACTCAGATCGGTCCGTTGCATCGTAAAGTCTAACTATTCAATTATTTTTGCGTAAACGGTTGTCCACCACAGCATGGGCTATAATAAATTCATTGGTCTTTAAGATGTTGCAATATTATCTTAGCATGCTGGGTGATCTAGGCTACAGCACAGGGAGTCCCCCACTGAAGAACAAGTTCCGTTCCCAAGATCTGTCCTTAAGTTGAATTTGTATGTAAGCTGGAACAGTATTTTTGTATAATGTATAAGTAGTATTGGGCAGTGAACTTGAACCATTATGTACTTAACTTGAATTTTGCTACAATAGGCTCTGTTCTTAACTATGGGTCGTCTGTAACCAGGGCGTTCTTAACCCAGGGACTTCCTGTATTCTGACAAGCCAGTCAGAATGTGGCTTGTTTGTTTCAGCATCCCACATTATGCAATCCAGCCAGCGACTGACCCAAATTCATCCAGTGAGTTTCAATAGCTAATGGTGGCATGAACCTGAGTCTCCCCAGCCCTCATCCAACACCTTAAAGACTGCTTTAATCCATAGCTACGTTTGCTCATGCACAATATTATTCTTCCTTCCCAGAAACACTGTTCTCTCCATTAATTTGGGCATTTCTTTTAAAGATGCACACGCCACCTTTCAAAACAAAGATTTCCCAGAATGGGTTACAAATGTTGTCAGAGTTGCAAT